AATGTCTATTGAAGAAGAAAGTAAAACCACAAAGTTTTATGAATTTTACTTGTAAATTACTTCAAATGAACAGTAAGTGTTGTTATTTTAAATTGATTTTATAATCGTAAATTATTGAATAAACAGTAAGTCGTTCATGTATTATATTTAGTTGTACCAAAATGATATGAATGAAATCCCACAGAGAGGGTTAGCATAAGAATGTATCTTACGTGAGACATAATAACTAGTGAAACATGTGTTATATGTGAATGTATACTTGTAAAGTTTGTATGTTAAATTATATATAGAGCTAGATAAGCGTCCTTTTCAGGAACCATAAAAGTATGTAAAATAAACTATGTGTTATAATAACTGCCTCATTCAAATAATTTGTGATAAGAACTGATATATGTTATAATATTGTCTCGTTGAAATAAAGGTTTTACTTGTGAAAGTGAAACAGCAGATGTATTAAAATCCTAAGGAACTATAGAAACATTGTCTACCTAAAGTAACTCTACCCTTAATAAGATCTTGTAATGATAACTTCTTCTATATAAGTGAAAGTGTCATAGGATACTTGTGTGAGATGAAATATTTTGTTTAGAATAATAAAAATCATAGTTATGTGGATGGCATAATGTCAAATCAGTGAAACAGTAAGATTGTCATTAAAATAATGACTTGTTTTACTTGTAACTTATAGGACATGCAATTACATCTAGGCATCATTGATATATTGAGGCACATTGAAAAGTAATTTGCCCTTAGTAACACAATGCACATATAGAGCCTTAATAATACAATCCACATAGTATTATTTGGCTAAAGAACCATAGTAACACCGTCCGTCTATAGAAACACCATACACCTTTGTAAGACACACACACACAATATGTCTAGTAAGACCATACACCTATATACTTGAAATAATAACCCCATCCACCTATAAAAACACTATCAGCCTCTGTAAAACAATATGAAATCTATAAACATAACTTGAGACAAGTTGAAATCTATATGCAGTTTTATGGAAGTATAGTAACACCATCTACCTTTGTAAAATACACACAATATGCCTACTAAGACCATCCACCTATAGAACCTTTAGTAAAATAATCCGCCTAGTAGCATCATCTGCCTACAGAAACACTACTCCTTTTGTAAAATGTATGTAAATTAAAAGTATAAAGTAACATGTGTAAAATGAAATACTTATCTTAGTTATATATCATTTATCTATAAAGCCAAACTAGTGAACCAGTAAGGCCTAAATAAAATGTTTTTAATTGTGTACCAGTTTAACGTTGAATAATATTTATGATTTTAAGTAAGTTTATTGTTAAAATAATAATTTTACTTGTGACTTTTAGGATACGTAATTGAATATAGACATTGATCATCATGGCAGCCTAGCAACACGCCCTCTGGTAACACTTCGTGGAACTATGACGTCATCTTCTCTACCCCCTCGTTATTGCCTGGCGACCCCTAACTACTTTCGAATCGGCGATCTTAAAATTGTGGGTCGAGCGCCCTAAGAATTATGCCTTTCCAGGCCGGCGAGAATTTAAGATTTGCGAATAAAGAAAAGGTGAACGAGCAATACAACTCGGTTCGTTTACTGTTAAATCTTTGAGTAATAAAGATGTGTAATCAGAGAACTCTTGTTTCATGAACCACCTAATAATGGAACGGAACAATATTCAAATGATATTTATGTGGTTTCTTTCATTAATGTACTTTTAATAAATGATTTAACGTTAATAAAATCAACTACAAAAATAATAACATCAGGCCACATATATGCAAGCAAAGGGGAATTAATTAATAATACCCAGTACCTGTTTATATTAATATTTGAAATATCGATTTATTGTGATAACTATAAGTTAGCTGCAGAGATGTGGAACACCTTCTATTTATTATTTATTAATTACCTTATTTATTAATTACGACTTGCGTGCTATACTGTTGTTCAGAAAGAGTAAATATAATTTATTCTAATGTAAGTGGAAAATACTCGAAAAAAGAGAAAAAACATAACCACATACTTTCAATAGCCGTGTAATGTGTTACAGGAACAACTATATTCATGAATTATTACTTTGCTATAAAATAAAATTAGTAAGTTTCAGGACAGTTATGTTTTAACTATAGAGGCACACGTATCAAAGCATATAATTAATAACATTCAGTGTAGAAGTGTATTTCGTGAATAATTTAAACTGAAAACTTTAGCAACGCAGTAGAGGTGGAAATAGAAATATCTCTTTTAACAACAACAACAACAAGAAAAATCAGATAATGTTTCTGGTATTAGGTACCACAGCTAAGTTTTATCAATCTTAGAAAGTTTATTTGAAATTATTCCCAGAAATCTGACAAGCTGCCTTATGGCGTTTGTGAAAGCCCTAAATTAAATTACTTAATAACATGTTTAGAACAGCATAACTGAACGGATTCTGTACGTTAAAATGTACAAACATTACACACTTCACATAGCACTAGTTTGCCCATTATTTCACTTGTTTATAGATGTTTCATGTGAAAGATATTAGAAATTTTAACTCCAATATTAATGTTTGAATACATTAAAACAAACAATTTCAATTCAACGTCATTATAATTTTTCTACATTTTCTTTAAAACGCGTTTGTTGGGTATTGATCTATTTAGCAATACATCTTTCAACAAACAAAATATGTCTTTATGTCTCATTCATTCACACTTAAAATCAAACGTCTAAATAAGTACCAAAATAAGATTTGTATTTTTTTTCTACATTTTTTAAAACTTACAAACAAAATGGAACTCAGTTATGTCAGAGAATTTTGATTTTGTATTAAACTTTCCAGGAAATACGATACATTTTGGTTTATATGAAATGATAATATATTGATGCTATTTTAATCAGATAATCAAACACGTATCTCTGAATTTTTTAAGTACCAATTAGAAAATGTTCGTGTCAACTAAAACAAAGCCGACTGGTTACAATATGATTAAATACGAATAAAGGTTTCGAAAATTAGGCATATTACAATCTAATGTAAAAATGGCGAATTTTAAGTGCAATTCATAAAGAACCCCTGAATGGGTACGTCACCCTTTAAGACAAAAAGTGGCTGAAAATAGAAGAGCCATAAACAGATGATAGCAAATTATATGTAAAAACTATATGACGACAAGAAGTCAACTTGGGGGAATTATTGAAGTTTAGAACGTCACCTCAAACCGCGATATCTTAAAAATATGTGGATATAAGTAACAGAAGACTGAATTTGTGCCTAAACGTTGTGATTGACCGTAAGGTAAAATTACTTTAATATCACAGAATTATAACGTCGTAGATATATTGTAAGCTGTTTCCAGTTATAAAGGATATTTTGTATTGGTTAAATAGACTTGCGAACATTCGCAATCCGCGAATCCCCATCCCACCAAACAGGCTCGCCCTTTCAGCCGTGGAGGCGTTATTATGTGACGGTCAATCCCACTATTCGTTG